AGTCTTATAATCGTTACAAAATCATTTGTTAAACATCCACTATAGGTAATGCAATCGAGGCAAAACTGAAAATCACCTTAGAAAATGCCACTAGATTATCACTTTAAGCTTATGTTTTTATATATAAAATTGAGGTTTTGAATCTCGTATCCAAGACTAATAGTAATACTACCAATTTTATATAGCATTGCGATGTAATGTAGTTTTGTGTAGTTACCGTACAATACAATTATTTTCTTATAGCATGTTGTAACTTTGTCTACCAAATTTTTTTTTATAAACCAAAAAAAGAAATGTCTATGCCCATTCGTCCTACTTTGTTATTTGGTTACAAAGTATTTGTGTATTGTACGAGAGCCACCCATAAAAAACGGCCTAATATGTATTTTTGTGTATAAATGATAAAGAAGAAAGAAAATAGAAATGGAGTTTAGAAAATAGTTGTATAGACAACAAAATAATCTCAAAAACTAATATTATTAAATAGAAATGGTCTAAAATATAAATAAAAATATATACAAAAATTAAAATAAAAAAAAATATAAATAAAAATATATACAAAAATTAAACTTTTATATATGCATTCCATTCTAGTCTTAAACTAATACAATCATATACCGCTTTCGTCTCATTCTAGTGTGGTACACAATTTGCTTGATTGGTGAATTACATTTGATCCTTCTCGCTTTGCATGAATTTTGTCCCGCTTGTGGTCTTCCAATCAAGACCTTAAAATAGATTGTTTGGTAGTTATATTATCAAATAATTCCAAGGCATCTAGCTGAAATATAACTTGAACAACTTACAAATATGTGCATCAAAACGTTTGTAATTAGTAGATAGTAATGGTTATTTCATATTTGGTTGATATTAAAAAGAAAAAGTTAAAATTTTGTGTCACCATAGCCGGATATGTTTTAGAAAAATCAAATCTTAAGTAATAGGAAAATTAGCAAAAATAACTTTTTTCTATTAGTTAGAATAATTTTATTAATTTTTTATTACTGAAATAACCTATTCTGAATTTAATTTTTTTATAATACCAAAATTATTTTTCGCAGACTCTACCAAAAAATTGGCAAACTCTACCGAGACATTGGTAGACTTTGTCGAGATATTGGTAAACTAGCAGACTGAGATATAAATCTACCAATATTTTAGAAAACTTTTACAGCTTCTACTAGAAAAAACAGACTCTGCCGAAACATTTGTAAACTCTGCCGAGGTATTGTTAGACTCTGCCGAGACATTGGTAGACTCTATCGAGATATTGGCAGAGCGTGCCAATATCTAGAATTACGCAGACCCTGCCAAAATATTGATAGACTCTGCCGAGATATTGATAGACTCTGCCAAAATATTGGTAGACTCTGCCGAGATATTGGTAGACTCTGACGAGATATTGACAAACTCTGCCGAAACATTGGTAAACTATGTCGAGATATTACACTGCCAATATCTAGAAAAACGCATTCTGCCTAGATATTTGCAGACTCTGCTGAGATATTGACAGACTCTATTAGAAAACGCAGACTTTGTCGATGCATTGTCAAACTATAACGAGGCATTGGCAAACTCTATCAAAAAAATTTACTCTCCGTTTCAAAATATAAGTTATTTTGGATGTTCTTTTATGTTTCAAAATATAAATTTTTTTTATAATCCTATTCACTTTTTAAGTTTATTGACTATTGGTCACACTATTGGGTGAACAATAGTATTTTGCAGTTGTTTTTTCATTGGTTAAATTATTTTTATTATATATATAAGATGATACTTTTTAAAAAAAAAGTAGTCTCTTAATATTTGCATTTTTAGCCAAAACAACTGATATTTTGAAACGGAAGGAGTATACTTTACAAAAAAAAATCATATTCTGCGAAGATATTAACATAGTTGTAGAGTGTTTTGTGTTTTGTGTTTTGTTGATAATAGTT